TGGTTTACACAAACTATATCTGAATTTTGAAAAAGAAAAAAAAAAAAGAAGACTTCCCTGTCTCATGTATATAAAGTTAGTGCGCTGTATTCGTATGTAAAATTTTTAACACTTTGCCTTTAGTTCTTGAAATACATGGAGCTGTTTTTAATGCAGTATCAGGTAAAGATTCATTTTTATCACTTTATACAAAAGGGGGATTGGGAAGAAGCCTGAGAGTGCCCACATGCAAGTCCCAGGAATAGAACAAGGGATGCATGAGACAGAACCTCCCCCAAATGAGTCCACTTAAGATCCGCTAACCCACAGTTGGCCACAGAAGCATGAATGAGACCAGGCAAGTCCAGAAAAACCACCTTCCTAAGCTGGATCAGCCAAGACTCAACCAACCCTCAGATTCATAAGTAACGTGAATGCTTTCTCCAAAAGCAACATCTTTACCAGAATCTTTCGTCTCCAGCTCTTAGCAATTTTTAGAACCATATCTAGGTTGAGAGGCTTAAGAATTATGAAACTGATCAGTGGGCATTTCCTATAGACACCTTCCCTTTATGTCTTACAGCTCATTGCTATCTGGTGCCTATCACATCTTGGTGCCTCAGCTGAAACTTCCAGTCTGACATCCTGAAACACGCCACTCCCTCTGCCCGTGATTATCAGGACAAGGTAGAATGCTGTGCATCTGGATATTTCTGATTTGTTAAGTCTCATGTAAAGCAGTATCTTCTCTAGGAAGGTTTTCATACATCCTCTGCCACTAGGCGGAGCTAATTATTCCTCCTCAGGACACAGTATTCCATATAAATGATTGTAGCCCTTGGCTAAATTACTCTGGATCAGCCAGGCAAGATTCGATTCTTCCTTTCACTAACTGTGATCCTAAAGTGTCCTTCATCTCTTTGAGCCTGAGTTTCACAACGGTTATCTCTGAGGGTTATTGTCAGGATTAAAGTAGATGATTTTAATGCATAATATGCTTTCGACCAGAACCTGAAACAACAGAGGTGATATTTATTTTGTTGTTGAATATCCGCAAGTGTCTGGGGAGAAAGGAAGTGTGCGCTGTACTTCTGAGGGACAAGAAAGCAGTGCTTTTATTATGTAAGGAGAGTAAAATGTAATAAGTTCTCCTTGCAAGTTCCCGCAGGACTCAGGGTCTCTGGATGCCTGGGTGCCTGGGTGCAGAAGGAGGCATATTCTCATCAAAAATGGGAAATTCGTTAGAAACGGAGATAAGGAAAGTCCTGACACATTTTATAAAACTTTAAAATTGGGGCAAGGACCAGCCCTGACAGCTTCCATTTAATAACAGCCAAAGTGACATAGCATCCTCAAGGTATTGTACAATCCCCCTTACCCAAGGAAAGAGCAAGTTAGGTCTCATAAAGCACACCCCACTTTTACTGTTCCCCCCAGCAGGTGCAAGAATAGTATCAGCAAAGATTTGAGCGACAGCTAAGGAAGGAAGATAAGTAAGCGCTATTTTCAATCATTTGTATTTATACGTAATTGAGGAAATAAAATCATATGGATGCTTCAAAAGGAGGGTAAATGCCAGTTGGAAGACTACGTTTTCTTACTCAAGAGTTTTCTCAAGGCCCCTTTCATGTCTTTGTTTCTCAGGCTATAAATGAAAGGGTTCAACATGGGAGTGATCACTGCATACACCAATGAAGCAATTATGTTGTTGTCATTGGTGTTGTTGGATGAGGGAAGGAAATATAGACCAATAATTGCCCCATAGTAAAGAGCCACTGCTGAGAGATGCGATCCACAAGTGGACAAGGCTTTGCAGATGCCTTTGGTAGAGGGAAGCCGGAGGATGGTGGCCCCAATGTGGCCGTAAGAAACCAGGATGCATAAGAACGGAAGCACAATGGCTGTGAATCCTGCAGTGAAGATTACCAGTTGGTTGAGGGAGGTGTCTGAGCAGGACAATTTGAGCAGGGCAGCAAGGTCACAGAAGAAGTGGGGGATGGCATGCTCAGCACAGAACGACAGCCCGGCTAGGAGGAGGGTGTGCAAAAGGGCACAAATGCAAGCAGCGGCCCAGGACCCAGCCACCAGCAGGACACAAACACCCCAGCTCATGATTGTGGTATAACGCAGAGGGTGACAGACGGCCACATACCTGTCATAGGCCATCGAAGTGATCAGAAAACTGTCCAAATCAGCAAAGAGTATGAAAAAGTATGTCTGGGAAATGCACCCGGCATAGGGGATGGATTTGTACCTAGTCTGCATGTCCATCAGCATCTTAGGGACAGTGACAGATGAGAAAGCAGTATCAGTGAGGGCCAAGTGGCTGAGGAAGAAGTACATGGGGGTGTGGAGGCGAGAGTCCAGCCTGATGAGCAGGATGATGAGCAGGTTCCCCAGCACCGTGGTCAGGTACACGCCCAGGAACAGGGCGAAGACCACGCCCCGCTGCTCTGGCCAGATGGGGAGCCCCAGGAGGAGGAACTCGGACACGCTGGTCTGGTTCTCCCTCCTCATGCTGGTGTATCAGCGGAAGGGGACTAGTGGGGTGAGCTGAAGGGAAAAGGTAGAATGTCTTCGGATAAAAAAGTGATCATTGTGGCATAGCATAATGAAGATGTTCTTTTCATCTAGGGAAGGTCTTCATCCACATTTTCTTATGTTTGTACCATATTTTACTGGAAAATACAGAAAAAGTGTAGGTTTCTTTCTCAGTCTGGTGCCAATCTTTGTAAATGACAATACAGACAGTCAATGTTTATTCAACGTGGTCCTCATGCACTGTTCTAGTAGCTTATGCGTAGTAACTAATGCAATGGTCTTAAGAATCTCAGCTACGTAGGTACTGTTACTATTTCCACTTTCCAGATGGGATAGCTCAGGCAGACAGTCTCCCAGGCACGGAAGTAAAGAAGAGAAGCCAGGATCTGGACTCAAGAATTTGGACTCCAGAGTTTGTTCTCTGGAAGCAAACAGATTATTTGACGTCCGATGTCTCTTTGCTTTTGTAATTATGTGTGTAATGATCTGCTTAATTCTGTATCCTCTGCTTCTCTACACATTCCATAATTATTTCTAATCTCTTCACTGCTTGCAGAGCCCAGAATCTATCAAAGACAATTAATGCATACACAACACAAATTTGTTGATCAAATAAAAGATGTCCTACCCAATTAAATTCATCATGGGAGCCTCTTTTTTCAGCTATTATTATAATTTTTAATAAGATTTTATTTATTTATTTTCATTATTGGGAGGGGGAGGTAATTAGGTTTATTTATTTATTTATGTTTAGAGGGAGTACTGGGGATTGAACCCAGGACCTCGGACATGCTAAGCATGTGTTCTACTACTTGAGTTATATCCTCTCCCGACCATCATGGCAGCCTCTTTAAGAAATTTACAACAAGCCTTGTTCAAGACTCAGGTTTGATCCTCATAATCCTGGGGCCTTATGTTATCTATTGTCCACATGGCATCACATTCAAAGTCATACAATCTAAAAGCCAAACATAATTTTTAAAAGGCATTCTAAACTTAATCTTTAAAAACTGTGATTCACCATGTTGTACACCTGTAACTTATATAATATTGTACATCAACTATGTCACAATAAAATTTTTTTAAATAAATAAAATAGAAAATTAAAAAGAAAGAATTCTAATCTTTTCGGTATCTCTAAAATAGCCTCTAAGAGATTTATTTCCTAACCCAAATCAATATTTCTCAAATTTCTATGTATTTTTTAAAGAGAAGGTAGGGATTCACTATAACCTATCAAAACTTATTGTAAAGCTATATTGATTACAAGACATAATGTGTTTTTACAAACATAAATCAACAAGACAGTGGAGGGAAATAGCCTATCAACAGACACATGGATAATTAGGACTTGGCTTCCCCATCACCTTGCCAACTAGATGCAGGAGGCAACCATATACCACCAGTCCTGGCTCCACCACCCCCATCTGAGTGAAAGGAAGCCTGTAATTATGAACCAACTTAATTCAGCAGGTGAAAATTCATGTCAAATGATAACTTTCAATGACCACAGCAAAGCAGTCAACTGGCTCCTGATAATGTCAGAGCCAGATATAAAATCAGAAAATATATGAATTCCTTACCATTAGGTCTCCCCAAACAGTGAAAGATAGCTTGCTACTTAGTCCTAGAGACAGAAGGCTTTCTGGACAGATTCCAGCACCTTGGCCCCAATCTTGGCCCCACAATCATCATGGATTATAGAAAATGAGCAATGGAACACTCTAATTTTCTTGAGATTCTTTAGATTATTTGGGTCAATTTTTCTTGGGGGTGGGTGCAGAATTATGCCTGTGTAGTGTGATTCCCAGATCAGCACTGAGCCTTCCATATCTCTACCCAAAACACCAACCTCAATAGGCCCTGGTACCTAAAATTCTTTCAGCAAGAGAAAAAAAACTTTAAGGTCCCAACTATGGTTTAGGTTTAAAAATTAACATTCTTGGGAGAGAGCCCTGTGGCTAACTTACTGAGATAGAATGGCTGGGAACCATTAATATTTGGGGACCAGGTTTGGATGGCCAAGAAAGGGCACTGACCACTAAGTCAAAGTAAGGAGGGAAGGAGGTTGGGGATTACAGGCAGAATAAGAGCAAAGGCTGTAGTCACTGAAGACAAATTTACTACTTTTCCAATTTGGCTGAATGAATGCTACAGGGCTAAAAATAGTCACATTGTTAATAAAATCTGATTTAGCACCTAAGTTGCCCCAGATGGTTTTCACTTCTTCCCCAAACCTTCCAACACAGGCATTCTGATCCTCATTTTAGAGAGGAGAACACTGGGACTCAGTGATGAAACCTGCCCAGTGTTAAGCACTAGTATATAGTGATCCTGGGATTTGATCCCACGTCTACTTAACTCAAAGAATATATTCTTCCCACTATATTACGTGCCTTCATTAACTCAAGAAAGTAGTACTTGCTGCCTAAGACATTCAAGAATTTCAGGAAGTAAATCAGGAAGTTTGAAGATGAGTGAAAAATCTGTGGTTCCAAGGTTTGTGCCTAGATGGTAACGTCAATGATAATAATAAAATGATAACAACAATCATTCATTCATTAATCACATGTTTATTGTGTGAATAATATAGGCCAGTTGCTGTGACATGTACTTTTTCAGCCTAAAAGGGCCATAAAAAAGCATTGTTTTCATTTAGCCAGTTGGAAACTCGGACTTAAGAGTATAAGTAATTTGCTGTAAATCATTCATCATAAAATTAATGGACAGATCATTCAATCCCGTATTTATCTGATTTCAAACCCATGTTTCTAACCACCATGCTGTACTGGCTCCTATAGAGCACGAATTAACAAAATAAAGACACCCGGATACACGCTTCTTGTTAAAGAGAGGATGGTGAGAGCTGTAATTTCCCCAAAGCCTTTGGGTGGATGTACTGTCTCAGTCCTTAAAGGATGATCAGAAGTGAATAGAGAAACTAAGAGGCCAGCTACTGGATTTACAAAAACAGCTGTTCGTAAAGCGAATTTCTCAGGGCTCCAGGACAAAGCATATCAAACCTTGGTCAGTATTTTTCATAGACTACCTAACTTCCAATAATAGGCAAAAGGTTAAAGCAAATATGGTACATACCCATTGCAAGTAAAACCACATAGCCAATAAAATGAATTCATAAAGCTTATGATATAATTTTTGAAGGAACGTAATGGAAAATAGTATATAGGCATGTTTAAAACTATTTGTAAAAACAATGCAGATTGTATAATCATTACTATTATTAAACCTGGAAGGTTTTGCTCTCAGCTTGCATGCATCCCAGATATTCACCAAAACAGTGAAAGAGAGAACAATTTCTTGGAAGGGAAGTACAAATGCAAAGGAATTATAATTAGTATGTCTACCTAAGTCATTTGAGATGATACAACAAAATAATAAAAAGTACTTGGCTCAAGTACAATCACGCGCAAGATTTTGTAGCAGATCATTCACACACACACACACACACACACACACACACGTGTTGCTGAGTGAAGTCTACAAACACTGCCCTTACCTTGCTCAGGAGAGATAAATTCAAATACATCAGCTCCAGGGTATGAACTAATTATTTATTTTCTCTCCAAAAGACCTTGACCTAGAATACGGAAAAAAAGTCATGAGCTCAACTCTGAAGTGGGAAGAAGGTACACTTTCTCACTGGATGCAAGACAATAACAAAAGTATCCATTTTATCAGCCCAGTTGGGACCCAGGGGACCAAGGCCACAAATTTCTGGTGAGGGACAATTTGTACACTTTCCTTCATCGTACCCAGTGGAGATGTGCCTTTGCCCAAAGGCAAAGATAGTCAACTCTTGCGGGAATGTAAATGAGGACTCATTATTTGCAGCTTCATGTAAAGAATGTTCACATCTATGAGCTCATTTAATGGTCCCTATCATTCTTGAGGTAAACAGTATTTTTCCCGTTTTATTACAATGAGAGTGGCTCAAAAGAAAATGGCCAGGTTACAATTCAAACCCAAACACACTAAGGTCACATCAAAAGCCCCACTGCCCCATGATGCCTCTTCTGCAGTGGCTCTGCATCCCATGGACCTCTCGCTTCCACATTCAGCCTGGAGCTGGGAGGAGAGTTGCTCCTTGTCCCTGGGAATCAAAACATTTAACACAGAATAATCGCCTTTCTGTTTCTCACAAATAGAGATCTTTCTTCTTATAGAGACATCTAAATACACACAAGGATTTTTTTCAGTTACGACATATAATAATAACTGGCACATAATTAGGGCTCAAACTATGCTCTTTAACCGTAAGTGTGAGAGAAGTCTTCAGAAATCTACTCCACTTGGATTGGCAAAAATAAAGAAGAGATACACAACATTGTAAAGTGACTATAATTCAATAAAAAATTTAAAAAAAGAGAGATGGAGAATCAAGTGGTGGAGATAGCATTTTGTTCATTATTTTTCAATAATTCGTTTATTTACTCATCCATAAAAATATGGTGTAACTAGCATATGGGAAGAATTTTGTGAGTTACTAAGACCACAGATTTTGAAAACATATTTTTTTTTTCTCAGAAGAGCTCCCAATCTAGTGAGCAGAAAGAAAAACCAGTGTCAAATACTGTAATGAAAGCAGGTCCTGAGGGCTATGGGAGCACAGAGGAGGAGTGTCAAACCCAAATTTAAGGGGTCCTGCAAGGTAGGCTTCAGGAAGTTACAAGTAAGCAGAGACCCTAGTCAATCCAGACAAGTAAAATATGACGTGGGTAGTGTAGAGACAGAGCATTTGAAAAGGAGAAAAACCGAGAATAGGAAGAGAGATGGAGAAGAGAAAAGATGGCAAGTTCAGGTAACCAAAATCAGGAAAATTAGAATGGTTAAGATGTACCTTGCAACAGGGGAAGAGGTTTGGGATGAGGCCAGAGAAATTAGCAAGAATGAATCGTACAGAACCTCGGAAACCATGTTGAACGATCTGTACTTTATCTCAAAAGAAAGGGAGAGCC